ACAAACGATTTAGCTGGTGAGATTTGTCCTTGAATCATTTTACTGCACTATAAGTAGATATTTTGGACATAGTTAGATAAGACAATACATAAGTAAATAGAATATAATGAGGTACCGAAGGTCGCCTCATGACACTTCCACCTCTAGAAAAAATCCTTCCCCCTCTAGTTCAAGAAGTTTTGTCATGCTCTTCGATTCTAGTTTTCTTGAACGGAGTAGTTTGCTCCTTAGTTCTGGGAAACGGCACCTTTCGAACAATCGGGGTGAACGGCGTAGTGATGACTTGAACAGTGTTTGTTTGTAGTGACGAAGGCTCTGCAGAGTTTGATTCAGTTACACTCTTAACTGAATGACGATAAGGATCTCCATAAAACCTCGTCGGTTTCTTGGACCAGTTAGATGACCTATTAAACTCGCTCGAAGATTGGGAGGTAGGATTGTCGACCTCCAAATGGCCAGTATCCGCTGTGTCTTTTGCTGCTGTGTCAGAAGTCTCTGGCTGGTCCTGGGGTGTTGCTAACGCCCCTGTAGGAGATATCAAGGCGGGATTAGTTGGAGGGTTGATGATCGGAGCTTCTGATGTAGCGATCACGGGAGCCAATCCTTGAGGTGTTGTAACCGGTGCCTCCACCAACTCTAGCTGAGGCCCAGTGATCAATGAGTCCTCGCTTGATGACTCTGCTGTTAAGTCGATCACCTTGCCCTCTAAAGATTCGTCTGTCTGCCGTGTAGCTGGAATAGTAGATAGTTGAGACTGGGGCCGAGGAGCAATTCGTCGCTGCAAGCGTTCTCCCACTGTGCCTGGCGTAGCTGAAAACTTAGGGAGGTTAAAATTATGTCTTAGGCTTAGGTGATTTTTTCGGTAGACTTTCCCTTTGTCGGTAATGTAAGTATGATCCGTGACATGAGTAATCTTGATTTTTGCTAGTTTGAACAGAGGATTTCCCGATTTTCGATCAAGGACTTTCCGAAAGATTTTGACTCTTAGAGAATCTTGTAAAACTAATTTTTCTAATTAAGTTGTTTTGGACAGTCTTTTGGCCCTCGAAGAAGACGACACGTTCATTCTCTGTGAATGCGAGAGTGCTGGTGCTGACGTATAGCGGGCGTTATCGTAAAAGCGTAGGGTCCCCTTCGTGATCCCTGATTTCAGCGAGTTTGCGAGGTCGCTATTCCAAGCCGCCAATTCACGGAGAAGATCTTGTCCTTGTTGTGGAGGCACATTCCGTTTCCACTGCTTCCAGGTGTTAGCTGCCTTCGCAAGGTTCTCCAAGGCTTTATACGGTTGGTTGACTATCCGCTATACGCTCGCCCACACCAAAGAGTGGCTTGAATTTATAGGGGATTTCTGGGCTGTGTGACGATCCTCTGGGTACAACTTTAGCCCTATCGCGGCTGTAATCCTGGCTTGACCGTTGCTCCGGGGTTAGGAGGTTCCTCTCTAGTCCTTGTGCTGAAGTAGGAGAATGAACAACATTATCACGTGCTAATGAAAACTCAGTGTTGGGCTTCCTCCCAAAGTGTAACTCAAAAGGAGATACTTTTAACGTAGAATGCTTAGTTTTCCAAATATCAACGATAATTTGTTGTAAAGTTGACTTCAGATTTTTAAAATTAGGATCTTATTTTTCTGTTCCTAACTTCCGTTTTATGGTCTGGATCGATCTCTCCACCAGCCCACAACTCCGATGATCCCCCACCGCTGTGAGGATGTGTTTAATGCCTCTCAATTTGCAAAATTCTTTAACGACGTCAGAATGAAACCCAGATGCCTGATCTGTCCTAATGGTTTCTGGTATGCCATGATTACGAATATATGATCGCATAAATTTGACTATTTTTTTCGCACTGGTTGATTTAGTTAACATCACCGAGGGGAACTTAGAAAAACTATCTATGGCGACTAAAATGTAGATTTTCCCCTACTTATCATCTATTAACGGACCCGCGAAATCAAGTTGCAATTCTTGGTTTGGAGCTGACAACGTTGGTAACGGCTTAGCTGAGTCATAAGTCGCGGAAGTTTTGATGTTCTTACCAAATAGAGTACACTCCGGGCATTGTTCGCAGACATTAACGATCTGGCGGTTGAGAAATGGCCACCAAATATACTCCGAGGCGTCCATCATGGCCGCCTGGCCTGGGTGCGAGCGATGAAGTCGAATCAGGATAGCACTTCGTAACTGTTCGGGTATGGCTAGTTTGTTGTCTCTCAGGACACAGTTGTTCACCACCGCCGCTTTCGTCCAGAATTGGGTCATGTACGCCCCCAGTTTGTTAAAGGATTGCACATCCTTATTGATGATAGCAGTTCTCATCGGTCCGAGGAACGGGTCTTCCCCTGTCAGCTCTCCCAACAGATCCACGTCGAACAGTCCCGGCAATCCGACCACCTTCTTTTTGTCCTGTGTGACCAGCGGTTTGTGGTTATTGATGGCGTTAACCCCCATTCGAAGTGTCTCTCCTCGTCTGGCCTGTCTCGTTAGCCGCTGCCTCCGGCACTTATCGAGGAAGTGAGTGAGGGCCTTTTGCGTCGTTTGTCCTCGAGTAACCACGAAACGTTCTCGAGAATGTCTCTGCCTGGCAATTTTTCGGGTACGTATTTGATCAATACGGCTCGGGCGATCCATAGGGCGAACTGTAGATAGTCTGGGTCTTAGTTGACTGGAGGTGCAAAAATTAGGGGAATTTGTAGAAAAATTTTCAACAAAATTGAGGAGATTTGTTTGTTCGATCGTATTATTTGCAAAGTCAATAGTATTAGTAGAAGTATTTGAGTTATTGAGAGCAGAGTTAAGAGTAGTGTTTTGAGCAAGATTATTTAAAGTATCCATATCCTTACTGATTTCTAAGTTGTAAGGTCGGAGACAATGAGTTTGAGCAAAAACTTCCGGTTTAGCGTATCGCATTTGCATACTGTGCTGTGATTGGTCGAGAGTACTAGAGCATGAAAAGTCGACCTCTCGCGACGGTGATATATACTCACGATTTTGCATACGAGCATATGATTGGCTAGTTTACTGAGAGCATGAATGAACGCCCTCTAGTGGTGAGGAATTATGACGATAAATTAGCATATCCTTTTGAGATTGGTTAACATATTGAGTACTATTCGCGACGCCCTCTAGAGGCGACCAACTGAACTGTTTGCAACAAGGTGATTGGTCAGATGAATCGAACGTTGATTGGTTTGTCGTATTAGTTAAGAGGTAGCTAATTTCGCCTCTAATTTCACCAAACAATCTGATTGGTGGAAACTGGTTATAATTTGAAATTTGCCCCACCGGCACTACTTGAGGTTTGGATTGAGTACCAATCAAATTTAAAGCATTGTGAAAAGCTTGAATAGATTTAATGACAAATAATTCGTCATGCGATGATGGCAATGGTGCTACAGAAGTCGGGTATCTAGACATATAGTCGACGATGCCTAGGGCGGAGCCGGGTATATGTTCGATTTGATAGTCGAACGGAATGAGGCGGTCCGCCCAGCGAGAGAGTCGTGACTGATAAGACTTTTTACCATACGTTTCATTGAGGGCGGAAATGAGGGCCTTATGATCGGTTAGAATAACAAAACGTTTACCAAGTAAATATGTACGGAAATGTTCGCACGACCATACAATAGCCAAAAGTTCTAACTCATTGGTACTATACTTGATTTCCGCGGAGTTTAGCAACCTAGAGGCAAACGCAATCGGGGCCCAAACATTTGGCTCTACTTCTAGTTCCAAGCAAGCCCCCAGCCCTCTATGACTTGCATCACATTTAACACGCGAAGCTTTCGAAGCATCGTAAAGAAACAAATTAGGGATGTTTGCTATGAGGTTTAAGATCTTCTGAAACGCAATAATTTGCTCTTCCCCCCACAAAAACGATTTCTTATTCTCCGCTTTTAACGAAGCTGTGAATGCGACCGTATATTTGTGCAAATCCAGGATGAAAGGTTGAAGATGATTGAGTGTACCCATAAACGATCTTAACTGTTTAAGAGTTTTGGGTGGCAACAGCGATTTGATTGCCTCTATTTGTGAGAATTTTGGAGCGTAACAGTTTTCATCGATTTCATACCCTAACCAGACTAGCTTGTTAACTGAAAACTCACATTTACTAAGTTTCAACGCCCATCCTTCTTCATCCAATCGATTCATCACTCTTTCGACTAGTACGTTATGATCTTCAACTCTTTCTTTAGTGACAACCAGTATATCATCGAGGTAACATATGACACCCTCCAATCCTTGTAACGTATAGTCCATCGCTTTCTGAAATTCCGTAGGCATGTCCATCAGTCCGTAGAAACCAGTCTTGAATCGATATGTGCCAGTTGCCTCTCCGCACAAAATACTAAAGTTACAATGACTACTGGTTAGTTACGATAAAGGTAATTGACTGAAAGCGTATTTAAGTTCCAGAGAAGTAAGCCACACCTCCCCAGGTGTGTCTCTAGTTATGATTTGAGCCGCCGAGTCAATCAATTTATGCATATTAGGCATTTGACATTTGTTTTGCTAGATTTGGGCATTCATAGGTTTAGCATTCAACGCGAGTTTTATAGATCCTTCTTTCTTTGCAGTTAAGACTATGGGTGCGATGAAATGATCCGTAGTACATTTTTCTAACTTTTCAATGTGCTTGTCTTTAATTAACTTTTTAATCTCAGCCGTGACCCGATCTTGTAAATGTATAGGAACTTTTCGGCCTTTAACTTGTCTGGGCACCAACGGGTCTTTAAAATTAGTGAATACTTTATGGTTTTTCGACCTCCCCAGCCTGCTGAATACATTTGGATACCTTTTGACAGAGTGATCCCTCCAGAACTTTGAGGTCGAGTCCAATTCCTGATCTTTCGCCGCGTAGCTAACTTCTGCCGGTCTGCGTTGCACCGTTTCAATTCCCAATTTCTCATGAAGGTTCAACCCGAGTAAATTTCGAGTACGATTTTTGGAAACCAGGAAACACGCATTCTCGATTTTCCATCCTTTCGATGTAATAGTGATTTACAGAGAACCAAACAGTTGAATTGGTTTCTTGTTATAGTCAACATAAGTAACGTCTAGAGGGTGTCTCGCGATGTCCTTAAATTTAACGTTGGGAATCCGTTTCATGAGTATATCCGCCGTTTTCTTGTTAAAGAAAGATACGGGACTGTTAGTGTCCACCGTAGAATAGAAGAAAGAGTTACCGGAACGTAACTGTATACTGAGGCTCCTTGGTTGTCCTCCCGCTGTCTTTAGAAGTTCCACATTGTTAATCTGCACAACGCCTATCGCCATGACCCCATATTCCGGCTCGCTGTCACCATTAACTTCAATTAAATTACACTCTTGGTCTGTAGCCATCTCTTCATTTTGTACCATGTTCACGCGTCGTCTCGTAGTGTTACACACCTTAGCAAAATGACCCTTCTTTTTGCAGGCATTGCAAGTAGCTTCTCTAGCCGGGCACGACCGGCGATGCTCCAAAGAAAACGGGTTGCCACAAAAATAACATGGTTTATTTTGATCTTGTCGTTGGTTAGGACGGTTTACACCTCCTCCCCGGCTACTATTTCCTTGGCTCTTAAATTGTTGTACTGACGAAGTTGGTTCCTGCTTGACTCGAATAGAGTTTGTAGTATTAGAAGTAGCGTTGTTATGTGGGAGCAATTTCTGAAATTGTTCTGATGTTTTGGCCCCTTTCTCATTCTCCAAGGCCAGTTGTAGAGTATCATCAAGATTGGCTTTTGCTCTGATTAATTGCTTCTGAACCTCCACATCGCGAATGCGACCAATAAACAAGTCTTTCAATGTTGCTCTTTCCTGATCAATCGGCCAATTACACAACGCAGTTTGAGCGCTAAGTCGGGCGTAAAATGATGAGAATGAGTCATTATCCTGCATGAAAATTGTATTATACAGCTGAATCCTTTCGACTGTGTCGTCCCGCTCTGCCTTGAAAACATCCTCACAACACTTGTTAAAATCAATGAAAGAACTAGTATTGAGGTCCAAATGAGGGTAAGAATTCAAGAATCGTTTTTTCCTCTCATTTCCCAGTGCGCCTCTGCCTCATAGTAACACCAGTTATGTCCAATGCGAGGTCCTTTCCTTCTCCTCTCTTGATTGTACTCATCGATTCTTCGATTAGCTGCTGCAATTCGGAGGTTCCTATTGGCCACGTCTGCTGCATTTTCTTCAGCACTCGGTGCTTCGGGCTTTGGGTAGGGTTCATCCACTAACTCTGCTGGGGCAACTAGTAACTCCCCCGGTGAAATGTTGTCTTTGAGACTCACGGCCAAAATAAATTGTCCTACCCAAGTCTCCCAAATGAAAGGTGGGTTAACCGATGTTCTCGCCCAAAAAGGTGGTATTCCGAGTAGGTCAGTCCTGTCTTCATTCACAGGAACTGCTGGCTGCGCCATGAGATTTCCCTCAGTTTGAGTAGGGAAAACGGTATTGTAAATTTCGAATATTGAATTAGATATGATATATAAATAGATAGAATAGAGTAACGAATAAATGATTAACGAATCCAGAATTGAAGTACTGTTTTTAATGTTTAATGTTTTTATGACTAGATTTAACACTTAAGGCTTTCGCAAGTGACCACCTCAGATTCTCAAGTGACAAGCGAGTCAGCTGGTGAGATTTGTCCTTGAATCAATTTACTGCACTATAAGTAGATATTTAGGACATAGTTAGATAAGACAATACATAAGTAAATAGAATATAATGAGGTACCGAAGGTCGCCTCATGGCATAGTTTGATTAATACTTACAATGCACATCTTGTTTGTCTTTCACACCATAATTCAATTTGTTTTCACCTGTACCTTAATGATTTTGATAATTCTCCTCAGTTTCATATAATGACCATAATAACCATGAAGGTTCAACTTCCGAAAAAATTGTTTAATGGTATATTCCATCCTCCAAAAAAAAGCTGTAGAAAAGTAAACGTATAACCATAAAAAAACGAAATTATTGAAATATTGTTAACAGCGTGGTTGAAATTTTTCTAGCTTTTCCCCCAAAAATGAAATATTTTTGTCTCGATGTTTGCCACTTCAATGAAGAGCAGTCGTATGATCAAATTCAGTAACCTTGGTCATCGAATTCATCAAAGGAGTTTTGTCAATTTTATCCCAAATTTCTCTACCGGTTATTGTTATACCTTACTATGCTTTACCAATCGGGCTATCTGAATTAACTCATGAAATTCAACCCCCGTTGATAGGCTTCTACTGACTAGACTAATGAAGGGTAATTTTGCGTATTGTCCATATGAGTCTTGAATATTATCGGTGCTAGAGGCAGTTTTAATTTCTTTCGCATTTAGTTCCTGAGATTCATTTTTTAAATTCAAAAACAATTCGATAGATTTTTTGAACACAGTATTTTGTGCTGTTGCAAAAATTTCTTTTGCTTACTGGAACCATATATGTCGTGAAAATCCACATAACCTCATAAATATTTTGTAGACACTTTTTTTTTTGTGCATAACAAAATATTGACAATCGTATCATATCACTTTGATGAACTCATGGAACGCACCTGCTTCTTCGGTATCAAACCCTCGAAGCGGTTGTCTTTTCTATGCCACAATCTCCCCATCAAAGTTATACTTTGCAAGATGCAAAATAAAATTAGTTAAAAGACTCTGGTGTTGTTCTACAATGCGGAAACTGTTTTCGTTTGTCAGGAGCTCCCAAAAGATAATTGCGTCTAGTTAGCTTTGAGTCACAACTTTGACAGTTTGAGTTTTTGAAATTTCTGTTTCTGTAAAGTTTGTTATGGGAAGGGTTCTCATGCTTGAGGGACCGAATGCTTGAAAAGTTTCAACCAATCAAAATCGCTAAGCGTTCCTATTGGTTAAATACTTTTCTCACAAAAGCGAAGTCAATATTAGCAGAAAATGTTTTAAATCAGAGGAAATTAATCAAAAATTTTACAAATTGCAGATTACAACCGCAATACTATTCAGATAAACATCAAGATTTATGAGTTCAAGTTCATTAAAAAAATTTCAGTCTTGAAAACTCATCTGCCTATTATCTAATCGGTGAGCGTTAACACTATTGGCCTGGTTATATTTTCCTACTTTGAGATTTTTGCGATTTACTTCGAGATTTTGAATACTCAATTCTGATTGGCTGAAAGTAAGCTAAATTTAATTTCAAGCATTCGTTCCCTCAAGCATGAAGGGCGCCACCAATGACCCTCCCCTTATTAGTGGCGTCCCTCATGCTTGAGGAAACGAATGCTTGAAATTACTTTTAGCTTATTTTCAGCCAATCAGAAATGAGTATTCAAAATCTCGAAGTAAATCGCAAAAATCTCAAAGTAGGAAAATATAACCAGGCCAATAGTGTTAACGCTCACCGATTAGATAATAGGCAGATGAGTTTTCAAGACTGAAAATTTTTTAATGAACTTGAACTCATAAATCTTGATGTTTATCTGAATAGTATTGCGGTTGTAATCTGCAATTTGTAAAATTTTTGATTAATTTCCTCTGATTTAAAACATTTTCTGCTAATATTGACTTCGCTTTTGTGAGAAAAGTATTTAACCAATAGGAACGCTTAGCGATTTTGATTGGTTGAAACTTTTCAAGCATTCGTTCCCTCAAGCATGAGAACCATCCCCCAATAAAGTTTATTAGTGTCCAATTTTAGGGTGATCTAAGAGTTGCGTCGTCCCTCTTTTAAAATTTTTTCCAGGTAACCAAAACTATATTAAAAATTACCCTACTTTTGCATTCCTGCTGGGATTTTCTTGCATTGTTGCATTCTTGCTGGGAGTTTTTCAAAAAAAGAAACGCAGTCTATTTTCTGTTAAACTTTAGGCATTTGAAGCCCCATTGAGTAATTCACGACTGATTAGAAAAAGACCTCGTGTGTTATTTTTTGTGAGAGAAGCCCATACTGTTCAGCATAACTACTTCATGCCAATATTTTCCTATTTGCTCGCATTTTTGTATAAAAATTTGATGCGTCCGCTGCAAGTATTTGTTCTATTTTACCACAGTTCTATTCAAAAATTTTGTTGCAAAAACCTGGTGTTTTTTTATCTTATCCTTTATCTAAAGTTTCTTACAGACTAGATCACTGAGTGTTAGAAAGCCAGAATTAGTTTTGATGCATCCAGCAGACCGGTTGCATCATCCCACTTATTTCTTTTCTCAAAATCATTACTCTATTTGAAGCCAGATAGAAACAAAATATTCGTCTTACATGTGATGTTTTTAGTTTCAATAGTAGTTCCTCGCTTTTAAGCCTTTCAAATGCTCCTCTCATTTGAGCGCACAGTTCATTGTGCCGCATTGTTTTCTAGTATTGTATCATTTGCTGGTTTATTTCATTGTATTTGGCAAACTAATCAAAATAAAGTCTCCCAATGTAGTCTCCAATGATTTTTTTTGCATTTTCGTTTACTGCCCGCATCAAAATTAAGGCGTAAGTAATCGATTATAACGGATTATTATGACAATTTTTCACAATTTTACTTGATTATAATTACCAAAACAAGGTTGTTGAAGGAATAATAATCGATTATAATCGTGATATTTTCAAGAGATTATAATCTCTTTTAATCCACTTTATTTGATTATAATTGCAACAGAAAACCTCTTATAATCGATTATAATCTACTATAATCGTGATATTTTCCAAGATATTATAATCTATTATAATCGATATTAATCGTGATATTCTCCAAGAGATTATAAAGTCGTATGATCCATTATACATGATTACAGATCAAACAGACAACCACTTATTATCGATTAAAAAGCATAATAATTCCTGACTTTTTCAAAAGAAATTTGGTGAAATTAATAATTATAAAAACTAATAATCATAGAAAAAAAAGATTAAACATTCAAAATAAACATATTCAAAGCGACTTGAAAGATTTCATCAATAATCACTAAATATTTTAAAATTAACCATTATCGCCTCATATGTTGTTCAACGTTGTTCTCTTGTTCTATTATGATCTCGCTGATCAGTCTCTTGTTCGGTGCCTCGCGCAGGTAGTTGGTGCAGGTGACGAGGGTGAACGAAGATTTGGATGTCTTGAGCAGGTGCCTGGTGCAGGTGAAGAGGGTAACCGAAGAGTTGGGTGCCTTGAGCAGGAGGTTGGTGCAGGTGAAGAGGGTGACCAAAGAAGTAGGTGTCATGAGCAGGAGGTTGGTGAAGGTGAAGAGGGTACCGAGGAGTGGGGTGCCTTGAGCAGGAGGTTAGTACCAGCGAAGAAAAAGCTTGAGCAGTTGGGGCGGGGGGGGGGGGTAAGAGCAGAATGTGTGCTGAGTTTATGAGTACGTCGTAAGAGGGATCACGTTCTTTTTATAACGCTAAGTAATTCCCTAAAAATCACGTTTGATCTTCAATATAAATAGTTATGGCACCCTATTATTAATAGTTAAGCCCCATACAATAATACACACCTTTTCACTACCACTCAGTTGAGGGAGGGTTGTTATGGGGGTGCTTAAATTTTTAGGGGGCTTAATAATACCCGTAATATAACAATCCCTGCCCCTATCATAAGCCCCTAATTTTTTCTAATACAAGTCACTTAAAATAAGCCCCCTATAATAAGTCCCCTAAAAATTCAAGCATCTTAAAATTGAGACAGAGAGAGAGAAAGACAGAACAAAATTTAAAAAAAAAAAGGTTAGATCTGCAGTTTAGATCTCTACCTCTCTCTCTCTCTCTCTCTCTCTCTCTCTCTATTTATATCTGGCTTACTTTAACTCCCCCTCCAGTTATATTAAGGGAGTTCCCTCCCCTTAAAGCTCCCTTAAAATCCTCCTAATATAGCTCCCCTATATATTGGGGGCTTACATTATGATGCTTTTAAAAAAATAATGAGAACGCTTCAGCAAAAATAACTAA